GCCTAATCTGGCTACATTGTCAAGAGGACCTCCAGATTCTACACAATCTATACAAACTGACTGTTATTGCCATGAACACCTTAGATCCTAGGAATGCTACATGAAATACCCAGAGTTAGGTCATTTCATGATTGTGGGATCAACACTTGAACTGTTAGGTACTGGGCTAATTTCTATATTGGCTCTATACGGATTTTAAGGACCAGATTTTAACATTCCTTAGATGTATATTCCGAGTTGAACATACGTCTGAGTAACTAGGTAGGGCACAGCACTGGAGAGATTAGAAATGGAACTGCGTATTGTGTCATCTGCTCCTTAAAGCTTACATTACTTTGGAGTTGAAATGAAAAAACCAAGAGAGGGTTTGGGGAACCAATGAGTTTACGGAGCTTTCTCGCAGGGAGCTGGGAGACCAACAATGGTACCAGGTAAAAGCTCAACCCCAAAATGGGTGACCTTTCCAAGGCTGTATAGACAGGGTCCTTCAGTTAACACTCTACCTCCCATGTACCCTACTATCTTCCAAGACCACATACAGCTGGGGCGGAGAGAGGTAAGAGACGCAGGCTAGACTCTCACCAAGGATTTATGTTCAATGTGTCATCTTAGGACTAGAGAAATTAATGCAGCTCCTGCAGAGAGCCCAAGTTCAATTCCCAGCATCTACATGGCAGCTAAAAACTATCTGTAAACTTCAGTTTCAGGGGGAATATGATACTTCATCCCACCCCCACACACTCACAAAAGAAAATAAAAAGATAAAGAAATAAATCTTATTATTTTTAAATTTAAAGATAAAAGTATCAGGGCTGGAGAGTTGGCTTATCTTGTTCTTGCAGGGGACACTGGTTTGTTCCCAGCACTCACATGGTGGTTTACAATCAACCAGAATACCAGTTCCAGGGGCCCTGATGTCATCTTCTGACCTTTGTGGGCACCAGGCACACACATGGTGCATATACATACTTTCAGGCAAACTATTCATACATAAGTAAAACAAGACAAGTTTTACTATTTAGCCCTGGCTATTCTGAAACTCTCTATGCAGACCAAGTACGTGACCTTGAACATACAGAGCTCTACCTGTCTCTGCTTCCCAAGTTCTGGAATCAAATACCAAACAAAATTAGTAAATCTTATTTCTTGGTTTTGATTTTTCTCAAGACAGGGTTTCACTATGTAGTCCTGGCTATCCTGGAACTTACTCTACAGACCAGAATGGCTTCAAACCCAGAGATCACTAGGCCCGTCTAAACTTAATAATATATCTTTAAAAAACAAGTAGCCTGAGGAAAAGAAGGTCCAGTGACAGCCCCAAAGTGGGATCCAGCTCAAGGGGAGGTCCCAAAGCCTGACACTATTATTGAGGCTATGGAGCGCTCACAAAAAGGGACCTATCATGACTGCCCTCTGGAAGACCCAACAAGCAGCTGAAAGAGTCAGATGCAGATATTTTCACCCAACCAATGGACAGAAGCTGCTGGCCTCTGTGGTTGAATTAGGTAAATGCTGGAAGAAGCTGAGGAGGAGGGCGACCCTGTAGGACCAGCAGTCTCAACTAACCTGGACCCTCAAGATCTCTCAAACACTGGACCACCAACCAGGCAGCATACACCAGCTGATATGAGGCCCTCAACACATATACAGCAGAGGACTGCTGGGTCTGGGTTCAGTCAGAGAAGATGTACCTAACCCTCAAGAGACTGGGGGCCCCAGAGAGTTTAGCAGTCTGGTTGGGTGAGGGGTGGGGACACCCTCATGGAGACAGGGAGCTGGGGAGGAGGTATGGGATGTGGAACAGTCAGAGGGTAGATGCGGGTTGGGTGTGTGTGTGGGGGGTGGGGAATAAAATCTGGAGTGTAAATAAATAAAAGACAAAAAGAAAGAAAATGCTGCCTTTGTGGCGACTTCTTGGGTGGCAATGCTGCTGTTTTCAAGTTGTGACCGCCATGTGCTGCCCGAGGACAGAGCTCCAAGTGCTAACCAGATTCACGCACCCCATCCTCTTATCCCAACAGTCTGCTCCTGCTTTATTTCTTCCTCTTGCTAACTGAATACCTAGGTATACCTTATACATTTCCAATGTCAACACCAGTGACTGATAAATGCAAAGGCAACCAAAGTCAAAACACAGAAAACTTGTCAAAAATGCAGCTAGGAAAGCTCTGCATATGGATGATGACACAGGGCTTTCTGGTGACATTATCTGAGCTCTCAGGTGACACAAAGCAGCAGAAGAAACCATTACGCCAGAACACTGAGCCACGTTCCCTCTTCCTGCCGTGTTGATTGGATAGCTTTTGTTCCAGGTATCAACACTTCAGCGGCACAGAGAATGCTAAGGAGAGGGGGTGATTACCTCTGCAAGACATGTGACAAAGTCATTTAATGTTGGACAGTCTGGCATAAATGATACTGGTGGGTAGAGAGGGCAGGGGGAGGGGAGAAGAGAGAGAGGGAAGGGGACAGAGGACAGGGAAGGAGGGAGGAGCATTTCCTAAAACATTGGGGTGGGCAGGCATGATTAGCTAAAGTCACCGTGATTCACCATGTGTGTCTCCAAGCTACACTGGACACTGACTTAGAGATGCTCTTATCTCACTCTGGGCAGGCTGCAGCAGCATGTCACGAGAGCACTACAACTTACCTTTAACAGGTCATAGCCATCAGGGTCCATTTCATAAATACCACTTCGAACGTCAACAAGCCACATGGCGTTAAAAGTATAGGATGAATCTGTCCAGTGAATCTGGGAATGGGTGCCTTCCCTCAGGAGACTGCCCAACAGAGCAGTCTGCCAGAACACAGCAACTCTGACCAAGGTATAAGGATGCAAAGACGTATCAGCAATGGCACTCGTACGTCACGAAGCAGAAGCATTTGAGCCTTGGAAGAGCCTCGAAAACACAAGCTTCATAGAAAGCTTAGGTTCCAGACAGTCCCATAATAATGGCTCCCGGGACCACAGCCATGTCTGAAAATGGCGGCTGGTAAAGCTGGCAAGATGACTTACACAGACGGTCTCTGAGCAGAATTTCAAGAGCCATTAAAACACCAGCTACGCATTAGGGAGCTGGGCTTTAGTTAAGTTCTCTAGTACTTTTAGATTTTTCAAAAAATTCCTTTTATTAAAAAAGAGAATTGTCATCTACAAACTATTTCATATCTATCTATGCAAATACAACATCAAAATACTCTGGTGAGTTCCCTGACGGAGCAGACAATTTTAGGGGTATCCAACAGGACACATAATGAGGCAGATCCATAGAGTCCAAATTACAGGTGTTAGCTAGATTTTTGGAATAGGAGGAAGACAGAAGCATTTAAAAAGCCGGTAACTTTCCGTTTTGTGGGTTTTGGCTATTAAAATCCAATCCTCAGGAGGCCAGAAGCAGCAGGACGTCAGAGACTGTGCGACCGTATCAGGGGACACAGAAGCAACTCCCGTGCAGTACTTCAGGGTTGCTATCAGATATAGTTAAGTGACACTTTACAAATTAAAGCCAGGTGAAATCAAAATATATCCTCCCCACTACATGTTAAAACACAATGGGTTATCAACAGTTGCCATTTCACGGCAATAAGGAGACAGTTGGTACAAGCTGGACATAAAGCGCCACCTCTTCATTTTTTGGAAATAAACATAGATACATGTACACATTGACATTATCTTCAAAATGCGAAGTGGTCATTTTGCTTGACTGTCTTATAAAAACCATCTCCCTAAGGTCAAATTACTGAAAAAGCACAAAGGCAAAACAAACAAACAAACAAAAAAAGGTATCTGTCACATTTAAAAAATATACACTGTCTCAGTGGTTCTATTCATTTGATTATAAAGTTATAAACTCTAAGGACTCAGGACTCCTTCAGAAGCAAACCTACCCCTTTTTCAGTCTCCAGAAAGGACACTTTGAACCCAGTCACTCAAAAAAAAAGATTAAAGAAATATCCCGATTTTGTACCAGTGAACTAGGAAAACGAGTCACCTGACAGCACTGTACATAAGATAGAAGGAACTTCAGGAGAGCCTGAGTCAGAAGGCAGTTCTTGGGATCGTAATCTGGGAGATCTGGGGGTAGGGAAACTCTTTGGGGAACTTGTTTCAGACACAGACATGGCTTCTCCGTGACAATCCCTCACAGTGCGAGGGCTTGCAGCTCATGGTCCATCTAGCGTATCTTCTGGCTTGCAAATAAAGGTTTTACTAAGCTATAACCATAGTCCTTTGTTTCTACTTTGTCTGTGACAGCTTCTTTGCAACAGTAAGAGTTGAGTCACTGCTCAGAGGCCTGACTTATTTACTCTGGTCTTTTATGAGAACAGATTACGGAAAGTCCCAGTTAGTGTTCTAAGTGCTACCTAAAAGGGTTTATTTAGTGCGAACTCTCAAGAATAACCTCAGATTTACTCAACAGCCAGATGCCTGCCTCAACAAGGCTCTTTAGCTTGGGCAAGAAAACATTGTTTTTAGCAGGTACCTAGAAATTTTCATTGGAAAAGTGGGAGGGGGAGGGAAAATGTTGCTATGTTCTCTTAATACTTTCATCTTGGTGGGGCTGGTGACTCAGTCATTCCTTTAATCTTTGTGCTTTCTGATATACAGTGTTCTTCGCTCCCCTATTACACAATAAAGACTTTAAAACCTTCTGTTGGAAATGCTTTGTTTGATGAGGTCCTGTTTAGAGATATTTAAACATACAAATAACTACTCCTTTAGAAAAGTGTGTCTGAGAAGAATCTGAATTCTGGATGTGAAGAGGGAGAAGGTGAAGAATTAATAGAGAAATTAAACTCTACAAAATACACTTTAACAAGCACGGGTGTAAAATAGCCACCATTTTTGGAGGACAAAGTCAGATAAAAACAAGAGCATCTTTCAAGTTTGCAGAAGGCTTTCCTGACCCTCATCAGCTAATGATCCCGAGTCGCTAGAGTTCCCAGGCGGTTCCCACTTCAGGAGTTGCTGAACCACGGAAGATAAAACACTGAGAAGATATTTATCAAACACAAATTTATATCAAGAGAAAAGTTTTTTTTTCTCATAAAGCTTAAAAGTGGATTTTGCCTTTTTGTTGTTAAAAGAATGGAGACTATGAAACTACAGGCTAGAGATACTTCTGTGACGGCACCTCACAGTTGAACACCACGCCACGCTTTCAAGGTGCTCTCCGCCAGGCTGTCTTCCTCAGTCCTCACCACATCCCTGTGAGGTAGGTACAGCAGGTCTTAGTGTCCCAATCTCAGATGAGGAGGATGAGGCAGACAGAGGTCAGGTGACTTCCTAACATCACACAGCAGAAAGGTCCAGAGCTGGAACCAGAGATCAAACCCTCAGAGTCTAATACTCCTTCCATGATCACTACTGCCTCAGGGTGAGCAATGTCCTCTATTAAAACTGAAGGGCTGCGCTAGCTCATTATAGTGACATCATAACAGTGACATCAAGAGAAATACAAGAATAGGATAGAGGTCTGACGACTTTACTCGACATAATAAAATGGGTGCAAAATCACTGTTGTCTACTTACTTGTAACTTTTTGGTCCAAATACATAAAATATGCAATATTTACAGCATTTTCCTTTTTCTTTTGTAAATGCAATGCTTTAAAACACATTATAAAGCACCGTAGTAAAAATAGTCTACAGGTAAAAGTACAGAAGTAGGCAAATCCTACCCATATCACGGCTCACTGACGGAGTCGCCACGTGGAATCACCGATGTGTCAGCGTTCAGGGTTACAGGTAAGCCATGAAGAAACAGGTATTAAACTCACTTTTTTGATATTGATATGTGGAAATCCTAAAGAAAGCTTCAGATAATGTCCACATTCTTAGAAGTGTCACCCCAGTCTTAGACACTGGGGTGACGGAGTCAGGAACACTGCTTTATCTCTTTTTACCTTTTTACAGTATTATTCATGGTTTTAAGTTGATTTAACACTAATGATCATCAAATAAAATAATAAAATAAACCCTACATAAATATGGGCAAACCCAACTGTAGCAGTAACGTTGATAAAACATGATCAAACATTCTAACAAACTTTGTGAGACATGATTCATAAAAATAAATCAGATGCTGCCACACAGTCATTAGCACTATCCCGCAGAGGTGGCGGCACAGCCTCCAGAAGGGAAAGTGGCCAGTGGATTCATCTTCACTCAAGGAGAGGTGAAGAAATGCTTATCAAAGCAAGAGAATCAGAACCTCTTCTGAAACGGCACTCAGTCTTCTGACTAAACTCCTGTGTGTGTGTGTGTGTGTGTGTGTGTGTGTGTGTGTGTGTGTGCATGTGCGTGTTTTAGGCAATGTAAGCCCCCCGCCCACTGCACCGGGAGGACATGATAACTATCATGAAAATTAAAACAAAACAATAAAAATTAAAAATGCCTGAAAGTTAAAAACTCCGAAAACTCTGACAGCCCGCCCGCATCTCTTTCCTTGACATTCACATCTGTCCCCTAGCCCAGCTTGGCGAGCGGCTGGCACGCGCATCAGCAGGAAGCTGAGGAGGGTGGTGACACAGTCGCTTTCCGGGTCAAGGGAGCTCTGGCCACACCCGCGCTCAGTTCGACTTGGGGTAAATTTTTTCATAGAAAAAGTTCTGGGCCAGGATGTAGAGGTCTCCGTCTTTCTCGCGGACAGCGTGGGCTCTGATGAACTGGAACTGCTCCAGGGCAAACTCATAGAACTCATTCTCCATTTTCCAGATGTCAGACTGCTGCAGCTTGGCGATGGTCTGCTTGGTGGGCAGTTTCTTCTCTGTGGTTTTCCTAAGGTGAGATTTCTTTCCTACTTACAATGGAAAAATAACACACATAAATATTTCTTACAGAACACACAGAGACATGCCTCTTTACTTGAAGAAATGATTTATGCTAATAGACACCCTGAAGGGCAAGTAACATACTGCCTTATAACATTAACATAGACCAGCAAAAACCAGAAAGTTAACCTCATCAGAGGCATCCTCCCAAGACTAGCACACAGTAAGTGGGGGCTGCCAGGCTCTCCACTCTGAGAATCATTTACTTATTTTTTAACAACCACCACAACCAGTGTCCAGTGTATGTGTGTGCGTGTGCGCACGTGTGCATCTTGTGTGAGTGTGCGCAAGCGTGTGTCCTGGACGCACACATTAGAGACCTCCCTGGAATTGGTCCTCTTCTCCCTCACATACCTGGGCTCGTACAGGAAGTGCTCTCACACTGTTGACTCATCTTGCTGGCCCTCATGTATTTAAAAAAAATTCCAATAAGCCTCTATCTGGTTTCCCACCACCTATATTTGCTACAATCATGGAGAATTGAGGGCAGATGTAAACTCTAGGGGAGTTTGAGGGACAGCATGCTGTCAAACAACTAAAGGAAAACCATCAGTATCCGGCAGAGTCACAAAGGTCTGGACATGCTCTTAGACAAGTGACAGCAGATACAGCCCATGACGGCTGTCTGTCGTGTTTAGCCCTCCCAACCCACCCCTCTTCTAGAACTGTAGTCTACTTTATTACAGAGTCAAATTGTAAACAAAGTGATGGCTGTAGAAATACATCTATCATGTACATACCTGTACGATAGAGGTCAGTAGCACCCCTGAAAAATCGGGGCAAAGCTGCCTCCAGTAACATGATGAAATCTTCCAGCTCTTCTGTAACTCCCACCAGGAAGTACTCATTAATTAGGTTATACTTAGCTTGATCCATAGCCCATCTGCTTCCAACATTCCTGAAACCACAGGCAAGGAGTTACAGACTTGGTTGTGAAATCTGCTAAGTGTCTTCATGCGCCTGCTACCCCGTGTTATGGAGGAAACAGGGAGGCCGGCGCACACGTGTGCGCAGCAGCAGCAGCAGCCGCAGCAGCAGCAGCAGCAGCAGCAGCAGCAGCAGCAGCAGCAGCAGCAGCACGCCCTTAGACGGGCACCTTTGGGAAGGTGAACTGGATTCTAACTCTCTTCTACATCCGGATTCTGTTCTCACGCAGACACTCAGACTTTACGGAAACGTATAAACTTTAAGAATGGTTTGTTTGCATCATCTGTTCTTTTATTCGACTTAGTGTGCACTATTGTGTTTTAAAACTACTCTAAAACTTTGCTCATTCTGCTTTGGTAAAGCAGAAGCAATTTCTGTTAATTGTGTATTTTAATTTGTAAACTCCATGTCTTTTCTTTCCATAAGCCTTAGTGTTTCCAGAAATCCTGAGAAACAGAAAGCAGGTAAGAAGAGGCTCCACTTAAAATCTTTTTGTTTATAGTGTCAGCTAATGTTGTTAACAGGTTTCACCCTAAATAGACTATACTTCTGGGATCTAATTAGCACCAACACGCTTTACCTTAACTCTGGCTCTGCATTTTAAGTGCCAATGTGATCCCAAGGCTGCGGCTTCACTCTTTGTTTTCTCAACTATTAAAAGAAAGTTGGAACCACAAACCAAAAGAACTGGGCGTAGTGGTACATTCCTGTTATCCTGGCACTTGGGAAGTGGAGACAGGAGGGTTATAAGTTCAAGGGCAGCCTGGGCTACAAGAGAATCTATCTAAAAAACAAAACAAAACAAAACAAAACAAAACAACCTTGAAAGGAGGGGAGGAGTGGATTTGTTGATTTCTAAGGTCTCCCCAAGTTGTATATGAAATATATTAAGAATTCTCTCTATTTAAAACTCAATTAAGCAATACTTTTTATTATTTAAAAGCAGGGTCTGGCAAACTCTTTCTACAAAAAGAGAGTAAGTTTTTCAGGCTTTGTAGGCTATATGGTCTAAACCGTAATTGTCTAACTCTGCCTGCATTGCAGCAGACGGGAACTGCACTGGCATTAGTGGCTGTGCTCTCTCTATAAAGCTTTACTGACAAAGAACAAGTTCTGGAGCATATCTGGGCTGCAGAGTTAGTTTCCTTTCATAGAAAGTGCTGAAAACTCGAAAAGACTTCCAATGTTTCTAATTCCTTTCCTAGGATGATGCTTTGGAGCAGTCTACAAGCAAGACCTTGAACTTTCTGCCAATCTACGTGGCTCAAATAATTTAGAAATCTCTTGAATTTCCCATTATAGTTTAAGGAACAGACTAATTCTGAATGGATTTTGTTTCTGCATTTTCTATCAAAATTCTTGACGAGACCAGGTACGGCAGCGCGTGTCTGTTCCAGCACTGGAGAGTCTGAGGCAAGAGAGTCTCAAGTTCAGGCCAGTCAATTAATCAAATCAAATCAAATCAAATCAAATCAAATCAAAACAAACCCCCAGAAAACAAAAGGTAGGGACATAGCCTGGTGATACATTACTTGCCTAGAATGTGCAAAGCTCCAGATCTGATCCTTAGAGCCCCCAAATAAATGGCTGACTAGAGTAAGTATGTACAATTATTTAAAGAACTTGAACACAGAACATGTTCAGAACTGAGGATGTAAGTTTTGTTTTTTAAAGTAGAATCTCTTGTGTACTTCATGTTTACTAGCAGACTAAATTACAGCTATACTTTATAAAACTACTGTTGGATACTTATAAACTCAAAATAAGCTTAACAATAAAATCAGAAAAATACTTCTTGGCTTGATTTGATCTACTTGAAACAGAAAACATAGGACAAAATAAGGTTTCTGAAATGACCTGTGACCTCGAAGATCTTCTGCTGGAATTCTGCAAAACACAATCCCAAAGCAAAAATAACAACTGCAGTAGATAAAACACACCGTGAGAGTATGTACATGATGACTCCTTAAGAACATTTAAAGAAAGCAAATTTAGATATTTACATGTCATGTGTGGTGTGGACTTCCATATTCCTCTGTCTAGTCCTGGCTACCCCACCCCTGCATATGAGATGTGGGTTGTTTATTTCCCTACCAGCATTCTGAGCTGTGGCCACAGAAGAACGGGATCTGAAGCCAGAGTTTCTCTGGAGCGCAATCTGAGCCTCCCTCAGCCACACACTCGTCGAAGGTCTGTAGTGAAGAGAAGAACACGGGCAAGTTAAAAAAAAAAAAAAGTATTTAATCTCTGAGTGTACGTGTGCTTGTAAGAGTAGGCATGCACTCGCCATGGTGTAGAAGGTCAGAACCACCCTGGGTGTCCGTCTTGCCTTGTGTCTTGTTTGAGACAGGGTCTTCTATTCCCTGCTGAGGATGCCAGCTTACCTGTCCCACAAGACTGAGGAGTTCTCTGGTCTCCACAGCTCCCGTCTCACCAAGAACCATGGCGAGTTTAGCTGCTCACTGCTGCACCCAGCTTTACACGCCGGATGAGGGAGCTGAACCCAGGTCCCCACCCTTGCAAGGTAAGTGCTTCACCCAGTGACTCATCCCCAGCTCTCAAAGCTGTAATGTAGTAAGGATGCAAGTGTGTGGGATGGAGTAAGAAAGCCAGGGCCGGGCAGACGGCTCAGTGGTTAAGAGCACCACTGCAGAGCACCGAGCACGCACACGTGTTCCCAGCATCCACGAATCCTGTTGCAGGTGTCGTTTCTGACGATTAGTGGGAAACACCAGTGAGGGCCCACTCCCTGCCCTGCCCTTCAGGAGCACTGCCTGGTGTGCTCATTGTTGACATGGAACATCCATCCTTAGTACATCAGTTTGTCCTATGGGCTCTTCACTGTATTATGGTGCCCTGAATCTCTGTAACTTTGCTAGAACGTTCTTCCTCGGTAGGCTGATTCTTCCAACCAAGGCCATGAGGCCAGCCTTCCAGTCACTCCTGTGACTGAAGGGCATGCTTCTTCTTTTGAGTTGTATATGCTGCTAACAGCCAGCTCTGAGGAAGGGCACACACTTGTCTGCGTGCTACCTTTATGTCCATAAGAAGCCTCATGTGATTTTTACATCATGTGTCTTGCTCCTCGACTATGTCAGAGCCTGAAAAGATCATGCCACGTGCACATGCATGTCAGAGCACACCACACAGTGCCATACAACTGTGTGGGCAGAACTACCTAGCACACGGAAGTGCTGCTGCAAAGGTCTCCATTCGGATGACAGTACCAGAGGAAAGTGCAATGAACAGGAGACGAGGCCACTCTTGTCATGACAGACAGGAGACTGCCTTCGGTGATTCCGTGAATTCGCATTATGTGTAATCTAAGTGGAAAACGGTGGGTGCCCTGGGCCATTGCATCACTTAGGCCTTTCCCTAGATGGTCTGTGTGAGGCTGAGTTGTTTTTATTTTTTTAAATGCAGGATTGTCCTTTAATTCAGAGGTCTGCCTCCTTCTTCCTTCCCACAGGTTGGGTAAAATGTGTTTAAATTTGGTTTCCCTCTGGCTATGCTTACGGGGTTATCTCAGTTGCATAACTGAGGTAAGAAGACCGAAGAGTGTACCACGAGGGAGGGGGCAGGTACATGGGAGGGCTCGGAGGAAGGACAGGGAAGAGGGAAACTAAATTACTATTGAAACTAGAAAGTGAGCCGAACACAGTACGCATGCACTAGTTAATCAATTGTCCTCTGCGGTTGACTAGAGATGCCATCACATTGCTTCACGGCCCTGCTACCCTGACTCCCAGGAAATGATGGCTCTGAGCTGGAACCATGAGTCAAGTAAGCCCTCTCCCCTTTAAGTAAGCATTGTCAGGGTATTTTGTCACAGCAACAGGACAAGAACCTAAGACAGTCTGGTTTAGATTTCCTGCTGGAAGCCAACCCTCAAGGTGGCTTTACCACAAGCCAAGTTAGTTTAAAAAAAAAAATCAAGCATGAACACATTATGTCTATTACACCCCAATTCTCACAAAGAGTGTGCCTCAAGGAACTAACTGTGACAGGTCAGAAAGTTTCTGATTCTGTGCCTGTTTCTAACAGACCCTAGCTCGTGGGATGTTCCCTGTAGCTCAGTACAAAGACTCCCCTTCCTCATGGCTGTACCAGACTAGAGAACAAGGCAGAAGATGTGTAACTTCGAAACAACCCCCCCCCCAACTATTCCATGTGTGCACATGACTGTGTACGTGACATTCAATGACATTAAGAATGTTGCCTTAACTATAAGAAAGCAGCATGCTAGGTGATGCAATACCAATGCTTCCACAAAATTAGTATGTAGACAGTGCAGACTCTATGCAGACAACTCTGGAGATTTCATGCATACTATTTTAATTAAACTGAATAATCATACTGGATGGCTATTTTAACTCAATTCCTTAATTAGCAAACTCCTAGTTCCTGTGTTCAAGTATTTTAGTCTTTCAGGCAAAGAAAATTTAGAACATCTCCAAGTCTGTTTTTAGGCAGTGTTTAAAATCTGCTACCTGACTGAGGCAGACTAAAGTTACATCCAAACCAAACCTTCTGTAGGCCAGGCTGTTAGCCTCTCTTGCATGGGATTCAGCGTGGCCATATAGTCATGGGCTTGCTAGTGAGCTGACGGCAGAACAAACACGGACGACTTCTGCGTTACCTGCTTCCAAGAAAACCATTTGCTTCCCCTTCCTTTTCCCAACACAGATGTGATGGTGGCCTGAATTCAACAAAACATGAAGATCTCCTGAGGAACAGTAGACAGCAATTTATGAGGACACTGGGAACTTGAGGGACTGTGCCACAGAACTTCCTCAAGAGTCTAGATCTTAACAAGAGTGCTAATACATGCACGTAGCCCCCGCACTTGGGATGTTGGTGGTCAGAAGTTCAAGATTATCCTTAAGGCTAAAACAGCTGAGTCTGATGCTAGTCTTAGCTATGGGAGACCCTGGTGAAACACAAACACAAAAACAATATAAAACAGAAAAACCAAGCAAAACAATAATAACTTAAAAAAAAAGGTTAACCAAGTGTAGTGGTGCATGACTTTAATCCCAACACTAAGGAGGCAGAGGCAGAGGGGCAGAGAGGTAGAAGCGGGTGGATCTCTGTGAGTTCAAGGCTAGCCGAGCTAGAAAATTCCAGAACAGAACATTCCAGAACAGCCCGGGGCTACAAAGTGAGACTATCTTGAAACAAACAGACAGACTGACAGACAGATGCACCCTCGCCCCCCAGACTTCTAAGTGAGCACCTTACCTGAACTGTTTGCTTTATAGCACTTGATGTAATTTACTCATCAAATATGGAAATATGGTTGGGTTTTGCCCCCTGTGTTAGCTGGTTTTATGTCAAGCCGACAAAAGATAGAGTCGTTTAGGTAGAGGGAACCTCAACTAGAAAATGCCCCCTGGATGGCCTGTGGGCAAGTCTGTGGTGCATTTTCTTGATTGATGATTGAAGTGGGAGGGCCTAATTTGCTGTGGGCAGTGCTACCCCTTCTATAAGAAAGCAGGCTGAAGGGCTGGAGAGATGGCTCAGCGGTTAAGAACATTGACTGCTCTTCCAGAGGTTCTGAGTTCAATTCCCAGCAACCACATGGTGGCTCACAACCATCTGTAATGGGATCCGATGTCCTCTTCTGGTGTGTCTGAAGACAGCTACTCACATAAATACATAATAAATAAATAAATAAATAGTAAAAAACAAAAAACAAACAAACAAAAAACAGGAAAGAAAGTAGGCCGAGTAAGCCACGAGGAACAAGCCACTAAACAGGTACTTCCACGGCCTCTGCTCTAGTTCCTGCCTCCATGTTCCTGCCCTACCTAGATCCTGCCTTGGCTTGCCTGGATGTACTGCAAGCTATAAGATGAACTTTCTTCCCCAAGTTGCTTTTGGTCAGTGTTTTAATCACAGAGACAAAAACATTATTATATCTGATAATCCCACAGGTCAAGCAATTATGTAGAAATCTAACAGGACTTTAAAAGAAATGTTCATAGAATATAAGGAGGATATGGGCTCCCAATGATAGTTTAAATAATGCTTCATTGACTTTAATTTTTTTTTGAATGCCAATGAAACAAATAACATACCTGCTAAAATAAATTGGTTTATGGAAACAATTGTTGAACTAAATCAGTCTGTTTATATTAAGGATGTCTTAACTTCAAAAATGGAGGGAAGGAAATGTGTTATGCTGGGGGAGAGGCTTTGTCTTTGTTTCTATAGGAAAAGAAAAGCTGTGGATTCCTTCCAAATTAATAATAACAATAACAATAATAATAATAAACATCAGATGTCACAGCAGGGGAGACACCCTGAAGATCTTGGCTGCAAACAGAAAGAGAGGAATCACGAAGACCAACAAAGCAGTTAACTTGTATTGTTACATGGGAATAGCTCTCAGACTGTCAGAGACATGACAATGTGTCCAGACAGACTTTAGCTATGAATGTATAGTCAATACATCTTGTTGGCAACAGAACTGTCAAGACATAGCATGCCATCCTTTCAAATGGTATAGACAGAAATGTGTATTACAGCTTGGTTATACAATCCAAACTAACTTATAAAGACAACAGATAGATGCCTTATCTGCTTCAACAGAGAGCAGAGAATCATATTTAACTGAACTGTGCACACTGCATATTCCATACATATGCTATTGTAGAAATGTATATATTACCTGTGAGAGTTCATATGTTTACAGTCACCAATAAAGTCAATGCAGCTCTGATAATATTTACCCTTGGAGATGCTAAGACATTTAGACATATTGATTCTAGCACCGTGCTTGAGCCTACCTCAGACTGCTTCAATGTTGTTTTCTTAAAATTCTGCATCCAGGACAATTTCAAAGTGGCTAGCTAGATCGTCCACCATCACAGACTGTTCCAGTCAGGACTTCAGTTAAACACTGAATTTTCTCAGCTTGTAGAAAGTGGACAGCAAATGCTGTAGCTAGCTTTAAGACTGACAAGGATCATTTGGGCGGAGGAGGTAAAAGGAAAATGATGCCCCAAATCAGCAGGAAGCAATTTTTAGAGAGCAATACCCCCATTCCTAAAAGATAGGATGATGGTTTTTGGTTGCTCAGTGGGTTTATCATTAAAGGCAGGTTGGTTACAAGTTGTTAATGGTCTTGATAGGAAGGAAACAAAATAGAGGTTAGACTCAGGGATTTCTGTTTTTCTTTCCTCTATTC